AAAGGCGAGGCTTCACCACCCATTTATCCCTCCGCCTTTCAACCAGCACCACATGTGATTATCGGCCAGGCTGGCACAATTAACTAACTCACCGATCCTCTACGTTGCCAGGCACAATGTCCTTGTCCAGGGACTGGCCTTTCTTGCTAAGCTGTTGGAAATACATTAGACAAAATCTCTCTATCTTCCCTTCTAAGAAGCATTCTGATTGCACTTCTTATACATATGTTTTGCTCTTCTGAAAGTCCATGGTATATTTCATATTTTTGTCGGCATAGTAATTCAAATGTACCAAGTTTTCTTTGTTTATTGCTGTTTTTACATGTACATGAGACAATTGAAACAATACAGTTTGGATCAGGTACATCTTAGTACTTTGAACACAATAAAGAGATCTTTTGCAGCAGATTTACCTGATGCAATATGTTGTTTGATTTCCTGACTGCTGCAACTACGGGCACTGATTGTGGATCTGAGTAAAATAACATCCTTGAGAACTTCAATCTTTCCTCTATTTGTCATAGTGTTGTTTACTGGTATAATCTGTACTTTGGTTTTCATTATTAAATGCTTCAAGTCTTCTTCCCTATTAGCAAGTAATGTTTGTTATCTGCGTATTGTACCTTAATGAAACTTCCCCAAAACCTTCATATAGTCCAATTTTTCACAAATTATTTGCTCATCATATAGATTGACTAAAGAGGTGAAAGGCTACAATATGATACACTCCTTTGATTTAATACTGTTGTATTTTCTTGTTTACTTGAAACAACTGCCTCTTGGTCTCTGTATAGGTTCCGTATAAGTGTAAGCAAGCATTCTGTTATTGCTATTCCTTGCAAAGTTATCCATAATTTGTTATGATCCACATAGTCAAATCCCTTTGCATAGTCAATAAAACACTGGTAAATATCTTTCAGGTATTTTCTACTTTTAGCCTAGATTCATCTAAAATATCAATCCCTATCTACATCCTCTTTTGAATCTAGATTGCATTTCAGGCAGTTCCTTGTCAATGCTTTTGAATAACCTTCAGCAAAATTTTACTTGCAAGTACTATTAATGACATTGTTTAATACTTTCCACCTTCTGGGGGATTAACTTTCTTTGGAAAGGCACAAATATGGATCGCTTCTAGTAAGCTCCATCGCTGTTTTCCAAGTTTCTTTGCACAGGTTAAGTGAACACTTCTAGCATTGTATCATTTATTGAAACATTTCACCTGGTAATCTGTCAGTTTCAGAGCCTTTTCACCAATGCTTTCATAGCAGCTTGGGATTTTTGTTCCTTATCCTGAGTTCTTGATCCTATGAAATCTTCTGAAACAACTGAACATCAATGAATTGTTTTTTGGTAAAATGACACTGTGTATGTCTTCATTTCCTTTTGATTCTTCCTGCATCATTCACTATTTTACTCACATAATCATTCAATATTGCAACTTTAAGTTTGAATTATCTCTATGGTTCTTTTAGCTTAAGGATTACTGAGTATGTTCTTCCCTTTTAGTTTTCCATCTCAAAGTTTTACATATTTCCTTATGACACTTATTTTGTCGAGTGGTCCTTTTAACATTTTGGGTTTAGCTCTTTTACATGATCATTTCTTTTCTTTTCTCTAGCCACTGTACATTCGAGTAAATTTCCATCTTTTCTGACATCCATTTTAATCTATTTCTTTCCTATATTTTAATAACATTTTGTTTACTTTATGGATGCTGCCCTTGATATTATCCTTCAACTCATCTAGTTTTCAGTATGTCAAAGACCATCTCAAGATCTGCTTCAACTTCAACTTGCACGTGAGTACCTCAGAGTCTGTTGTGCAGTCAGTGAATAAGGATATTGAACTTCTCCATCATATTTCCCCACAAATTAATAGATTTGCTTCCCACAGATCTTTAATCTGTTAAAAATAGATACTTTAAAAAAATCATTTACTGGGGATCGTAAAGGTCTTATAACAATCGAAATACCCATTGTGTGAAGCACATTTATACATATGTTGCCATCATCCTTTTCGAAACATTTTCTTTCTACTTGAGCCCTTGGTAATCAGCTCACTTTCCCCCTCCGGCCCCCATCCTCCCACCCTCATGAATTCTAGATAAATTATAAATTATTGTTTTCTTTTTTTTAATAATTTTATTGGAGGCTCATACTACTCTCATCACAATCCATTCATACATCCATTGTATGTCAAGCGCATTTGTACATTTGTTGCCCTCATCATTCTCAAAACATCCACTTTCTACTTAAGCCCTTGGTATCAGCTCATTTTCTCCCTCTCTCCCCACTCCCCCTCCTATTATTATTTTCTTATCTTAGACTGCCTACTGTCTACCTTCACCTATGTTTCCACTGTTACTTGGGAGGTGGGGAGTGGGAGGGTGGGATATGTCAAACATTGCAATTGGTTCCCTCTTTCTCCCCCCACTTTCCCCCTACCCTCATGGTACCACTACTCCTATTATTGCTCCTATTATTGTTCCTGAGGTGTTTAACTGTGCTGGATTCCCTGTGTCTAGAGGTCGTATCTGTACCAGTGTACATGTTCTGGTCTAACCGGATTTGTAGGGTAGAACTGGGGTCATGATAATGGGGGGTGGGAGAGGAAGCACTAAAGAACTGGAAGAAAGTTGTATGTTTTGTCGGTGTTATACTGTACCCTGGCTGATTTGTCCCTCCCTTGTGGCCCTTCTGTGAGGGGATATCCAACTGTTTACACAGGGGCTTTGGGTCGCACTCAACTCCCCTCATTCACATTGATATGATTGTTTGTTTTGGGTCTTATGATGCCTGATATCTGATCCTGTCGACACCTCGTGACCACACAGGCTGGTGTGCTTCTTCCATGTGGGCTTGATTGCATCCCAGCTAGATGGCCGCTTGTTTATCTTCAAGCTTTTAAGACCCCCAATGCTATATCTTTTAAGAGCCGGGCACCATCAGCTTTCTTCACATTTATTTATGCACCCATTTTGACTTCAACAATCATGTTGGGAAAATGAGCATCACAGAATGCCAGGTATTAGGCATAAGTATTAGAACAAAGTATTCGTGCATTGAGGAAATACTTCAGTAGAGGCCCAATGTCTGTCTGCTACCTTAACATTTAACATATAATATATGGACATAGATCTATGTAGCTATTGTTATATG